ATAAGGGCCTACAAATCTCGATTTGCTAACTTTCTCGTTATCAATTTTAGTGTTTCGTTCTCAAAATATCAATTTGGCCTATATTGTACTTTGTTTATTTCAACTGACAGAAAAATCTTATTTCCGGATATACAGTTATGCAGAAAACATTATTTAAATGTTAAAATTCGAGTTGTATAATATAAACATGAATTAAAATTAAGAATGAAATACACTTGAAAAAAATTGTTAATTGAAATTAACAGAAAATATTCCAACTGGCAATAGGCCTATACATTTTATATTTTATTTATTTATTTAGGCCCTATATTATAATGTTTTATATATTATTTTTATATTGTAGGCCTATAAGTTTTTTTTGTATAATAAATGTAATTTATTAAATCTAATTGCAATCCTCATTCTTTTTTTTCTTACGATAAAACGACGTAATCGTAAGTAAATCTGCCTTCTTACGTCGACAGGAAACCAGGCTTAAATTTAAAACCACTAGGCCTAACAGTTATGCATAAGTAGACCTAGGTTTGAACAAACTAAACAGATGCTGGGAGCAAGCTGGGAGCTGGTTATAAATAGCAAGCTACTCTGAAGATAACAAGAGAATAAAAAAATTATTACATGCCTAATGGTAATGATGACATCACATCATGACCATTTATACTTTAGGCACATCATGACTATATGGAAATACAACAGTTTTGTTTTGTTTTTTATCAAAGAACATATAGTATGAAAAGAGCTTAGTTAGGCAGACATATGATTACAACAAACATTCGAAACTTAGATTACATATAGCCGAAACGAAGAAATCACTCAAAAAATATGGAAAACAATATCAATCAAACAATATAGTTCTAGATTTACTTATTGACGTTCCTTATATTTACAAGACAAATGGAAGTTCTGTGTTCTCTGTGTTGTATTGAAAGTGAGTATGCTGAAATTGGTCCACACGTTAACAACTGGAGTAGGGTGAAACGTAAAACATGCCAAATTATAATTAATGAATTTATAGGCATTCGTATTACAATTGATGGTCAGACCTCTAGGCAATATAGAATAATATTCACTCATTTCTTTCACATATTTATAATGAAAAACATGTTTTCCTCGCAATCGAAACAACCGGAAACAATTTAAATTGAGTTCGGTGAGCCTTTGATAAAAAAAAAAAGAAAAGAAAAGAAAAAAAAAAACGGCAATAAATAATGAGCGATTAATTACGTCAGTTACAGTTAGTTTTTAAAGCCATAGGCCTACTTGTCCAAATTAACTACTGCATTATCGATGTACGTAGGATGCATGACACAAATTTAAAACACATTTCAAAAGCTACCTACCTACTTAAAAAAAAAATAAAAAATAGAAACATTTTCTTTCAAACATAAATTAAATGAGATAGTCAACGTTAACAAATAGGCCTACTATCCTACTATGCAGGATCTGTAAGCCCTGCCCAGACAATGCGATAATATTTGACAAAAATATATGACATGCTTAATATGCTCATGATATCACATCATGACCATATATCACATCATGACCATATATAGGCACATCATGATCATATATGGGCATACAACAGTTTTTGTGTCAAAGAAAATTTGCAAGTGTGGACAGGGCTTTAGAGATTCAGATTATTAAATTAAAAAAACGTCTCAACTGTCTAAACAACAGGAACGTTACTTACGTTTCGCAATAAAATTCAAAAGAAGATATTACGTCACATCACATAATGATCTCATTTGCATATTATAGACCTACTTTGAGTTGAATTATTGTTTAGAACAAAAATTTAAAATACACTACTATAATTTTCAGTGCCGTATGTGATAACCGTGAAAAACGCAAGAAATGTGAATTAAACGTGTTGTAGAATACAGGCCAAAAGTTTAATAAAATGTCATTAGATTTTTAAAGGCCAAACAATGGACAATTGCCTCATATAAATAACATTTAAAAATGATAATTGCGAGTAATATTGAATTAATTCAATTAATGACCGTGTACTAACGACCTTATAATGTATAAGTAATTTAACTTTTGGCGAGTATGTTGCCAGTAAGCGAGGTTTTTCAATTAATTCTCTCCTTAGCATTAACCCTTCTCGTAAAGTCTCATTTCCCATATATATATATTTCTAATCATCATTCTCCTAATCCATTTTCACCTTCATTATTCTTTTGATTGCATTTTAATGTTTCTGTTTTCACTAACATCAGACATCTTCAAAACCAAAAACTCGGTGGCTCGTGTTATCACTATCTAAACGGTTTAGGTTATACATCACATACTCAGTGGTGTACCTAGAGGGTGCGCGGTGCCTAAAAAGGTCCCCCGCACTCCAGTCTCCCCCATTGAAAATGTTCGAAGTAAGTACATAAAAATCACCTCATATCAACATATTTTGTGAGCTACTTCCCCCTCACCCTCACTTAACCATCGAGCAGCCC